CATCGTCATCGCAGCGCACTCGTGCGCCTATGTATTGTGCAAACATTTAGCACTTTTTTCCACCTTATCGGCACGAACACATTCATACATACTCGTACATACATACATACATACATATGTACATATATAAAGGCAGAGCCAAGAGTTGTCGTTGTCGACGCAGTCGTCGCCACTGAGCTGGCAGAGTGTGGGCTTTTGCATGGGCGTCGCTGTCTCTGTGTGCGCCGGCCAGCTGAGTCAGCGCAGTGCTTTTAACAGCCCACTCATCAACAGCCAGCAAATAAAACGCCTTCATACATGACTGAGGCAGCGATGTCGACGTCGCCGACGACGTCGAGTACCACAACTACAAATTTTTGGTCAATGGCTGGCTTCCCGCTCAAGGTGTGATAAATGCCATTTTCCATTACACTCTCTCTCTTTGGTTTTATTTTGTGCTGCATATTTTATTGTGGGTAAAAGGTGCACAAAAGAAATTGAAAATTCATTAAAAACGTGTTGCATGTAAGCAGCCGCATCTATGGATTGCTTGGATACAATAGCGCTCAGATTTCAAATTCTAAAAGCCGCAAATCGTTGCCACGAAAATCAGTTAACTCATGCGTAAAAGTCTACCTTTTAATGCCATAGCCAAAATAAAGCGTGGGTGGGCGCTGAGAGCAAAGAGCGCAGCAAGTCAAAATAGAGGAGAGCAGATGCAGAAACAGCAGGTTGCCAGCATGTAAAAACTAGTGTTCAAAACTTTTCGTACCCCACAAGTAAAATGTATATTATGTTTGGGCATATGTATGTAACAGGCAGATGAAAGTAGCTCCGTCCACCAAAAATATATACATACATATGTAAGTAGTATATGCATATATGTACCCTTGATTAGCATGTCGACACAAATCAACCGAGGCATGCGGTAAGTGGCATTTTTATCCAATTCGGCTAATCCTAAGAAAAGTTATCAAAACAGTATTACGACATTAACACGCGCGCCTAAATAGTAGCAGTGGATTAATCATTCTTCTACTGATATCCACGCACGTAACAGAGGTCCAAGTTTTGGGTACAGGGTATTTCACTGTCGGGCTAGCTCGACTATAACATTATTTCATTTCTTCTGTTGTATTTCAAATTTATTGGCACAAGGTTAGAAAGCTTAGGGGGAGAAATGCCGGCAGAGAAGAAATAAGCGAATTGAAACGCAGCCAGTCAGTCAGGCAGCCAGCCAGTCAAGCTACATGCTCGACATGAGCGAAAATGGCAAAGTTTATGCTGCTGTCGGCATTGTGCTTAGTGCAGCATGCTGCATTGTTGCAACTTGTCAAGTGTGTGCGGGGGCGGGCGGCCACCTTTGCCGTAGGCGCTGCTGCCGCTGCTGCTGCCAATGCCATTGTTGCCGACAGGGTATGCGACAGTTTGTGTGACCGAGTGCACTTTCAATTGACGTGGGTGCTTCGAAGTGCAATGAAATTAATACGAAATTGAATTTTATTCAGCACACTTTTTTTTGCAATATAAAAGAGTGAGAAACTTGTCACACATTCATGTAGATACATACACACATACATACTATGTATATGCACACTTTTATGCATTTGTAAATAGTCTTAGGTGATTTTAGATACGTTTTTTTTGTTATTTCTTATCAAGTATACGAGTACATATGTAATTACAATAATCTTTCGTCTTACTTATGTATATACGTATGTATATAGATGGGGACTTTCATTCCGAAATTAAAACAACACATGTCATAAGTAGCCCATTTGAGTACCGTAAACTCATTCTGCACAAGTCTACATACGCACCAAGTTTGGTGTCCCTAGTTGTTATGGTTTCAAAATTCTTATCTACATATATGTAGCCCTTCGTGTACAGGGTACGAACAAGAAGCAATGCGACGACTTCTCCATCAACGGACACGTGCACAGATTCGCGAAGGGGGACTAACAGCAGCTTTAATTCATCCGTAATGCAGACGTCACGAACTGCGAGTAAAGGAGAGAGAAGAGCAAGCAAAACCACGCTCAGCTGAGCGTATGACGAATATAAGCGCAACTTGAGGCGTGAGCGTGGGTGATGATGGCAACGTTACGTCATAGTTTGTAAGTGTTTGTGAATCGCGCTCTATTTTCTGTGTTTGTGCTGGTGTGGTTTTAAAGCTCACCAAAAAAAAAATGAACAAAAATACCAGCAATAACAAAGCGCGGTTTTCGCTGCACTGATGCTGCTTTTGCTTCTTATGCTGCTGTGCTTTACACATTTTTGTGTGGCCGCCGCAGTGGCTTTTGTATGGGCGGCGCTTACAAGGCTGTTTGTTGCATATTCACAATAGACAGCTGTTGCTTTTGTTTGTCCATGCGACGACGACAACAAATGTGTTTTTGAAATACACGTGGGCGTCTGTTTGTGGCCATGCGAACAATTAAACGACTGAACAATAAAAAGTTGTTGGCAACGACGCTCCTGGGCTTCGCTTATGCCGTTAGTAGTTGTGACCAGACCAAAAACCAGTAGTACCCCGGCTTTACGGAGGGTAAAATTATGAGGTATGCTTAAATATGAAAAAATTCGTGCAAAAAATGTGCCGACTAATGGAAAAAGCAACGACGTGGACAGTAAATAACTGCTTCCTTCTATGACAGTAAGTAGCTTAGCGTAATAAACAACACGGCGACAATTATTACTGCTGCTGCTGCTGTTGGTGTTGCGTTTTCTCACTGCTGCCTTTATGAAAATGTCGAGGCAACAACAAAAAATGCTATGTATGTACAGTAGAAATTGTTTCGAGGAATTTTGTCTGGACACCGAATTTGGCTATTCCTGCTCTTTTACTTTCTAAGGTTACGTTCATACGACGTAGTGATCAAGAATATATGTATAACTATACCTTGTGGAGTCTGCAACGACTATACCCTATACAGGGTGTGAAAATGTTATTCTATGATATAGATAATCGTAAGGAAATTTAGTTTTGATTGAATTATGATTAGAAAAAAATATTACTGCATGTTTCTCGTAATAGTAATGAGTGTTATGAACTCTTCAAAAATAAAACTAAGTAAGTGGAAGTTGCTGACGCAACATTCAATTCAATTGCCGATCGGAAACGTAAGTTCCGCTAGCATTGCAAATAATTTGTACAGTACGAACTAAACATACATATATGTTCCTACATATAAAATAAAAATAAATAAATAATTATATTTGAAATTTAATTATTGCTTAAAATACAATAATTCTATTGAAACAAACTACTGTTTGTCATCAGAGAAACTAAATATTTTATAGATCACACAATTCAGCAAGGAAAACATTCGCGTAATTTTGCATTCATCATTAATTTTAAATAATTATATTTGAAATTTAATTATTGCTTAAAATACAATAATTCTATTGAAACAAACTACTGTTTGTCATCAGAGAAACTAAATATTTTATAGATCACACAATTCAGCAAGGAAAACATTCGCCTAATTTTGCATTCATCATTAATTTGCACATTTTTTGCTAAGACATGCATTTGTAAAATTTTGTAAGCAGAAACAATAAGTAAAAAGTTCGACTGCGCTTTGCTCTGTGAAGTTAAAATAATGTTATGCATTGATCTTGTTACTGTTAAACGGCCTTTACTGTAAAATGCCAGCCAAACATAAATTCTTTTTATTGCGTCAAAAGCCTGGCAATCGCAACCTTCGTGAGGCGAAAATATATATAGTACAACAAAGTAACAGAGCGAAATGTTGCCAGTATTCATGTTGTTGTTTGTGCTGTCGGCGTCATTGTTGTTGCTCCGTTCATTAACGTCAACGCAGTCGGACACGCACACACACAAATGCAGAAAATTTGCTGTTTTGCGTATCAAAGTATATCTGTATGTATTTGGCCTTTTTACTTTTGGTCAGAATAATTCGAGAAGAATAAAACGTGCCAAGAAATTGGTCAGGCAGCCAGAGAATGCAGAGAGTTCAGTGTGGGCGACGTAAAACTGTTTTGTTTATGTCTTTTGGCCAATTGCGGCCAGCAATTTTCGCTTTAAAAATGTACATAAACAGCTTTGGGGATTGCGACTCCAATGATTGCACCAGCTGGCTTGCAAGCAAATTTTGCAGAAGCGCCAACGTTATTTATGGCAAGTGGGAAAGAAGGCGGGACCATAAAAAAGCAGCTGCGCTTGCGTATGCGAGAGTGTAGGTGAATGATATGCACGCGCACACATACCCTCACACATGAAGTGACACATTTCTCAAAATACGAGTGTATGTGCGAGTGTGCGTTTTAATTATTTATTAACGTGTTTGTACTAGCTACACTGCAGCGCACAAATCAAGTCAAAACGTGTGCTGGCAATTAACTATTAATAATTCATTCATAAATAAAACAAACAAGCCTGATAAAGAAGAACTAGAACAACAATAAATCTGCAAATTAGCCAACAACTCAAAGCAACGACTGAGATACAAGTGGAACAAAATGTCCAATAAGACCAATAAGAACGCAGAGCAGAAAGAAACCAGTAGCGCAGCTGCCGACGGCGACGTCGCTGCTGATGATGATTAGGTGGTTGTTGGTGTTGTGGGGAGCCCATAATAAACAAAACGACGACCGAGAGACGCTCGACTTTCGCTTTCGACGTTGTTTAGGGCCAGCATACAAAAAAAAAAAAAAATGAAATTATGTAATTTGCTGCTTAGGCCAAGTGGAACGCACTACATACTTAAATAATAATAACAGTTAATGCAAAAAAAAGCAAAAACTGTAACAGCTAATGCCTGGGCGCCTGGCCGATACATACGTTCATACACATACGCAGACATAAATAAAGACGGGCAGGCAGACAGAGACGCACACACACACGCATGCCTCAGACAGTTTTGCCAATGCTACCGCTAATTTGGAGCTTGGGAGGTGCGGCCCACAACATATGTACATGTACGCACGCACACCCACAGACGCACTGTCAGACAGTTTTACACACACTCACGCACTTTACTCACTCACTCACTCACCTTCTGTTGCTGCTACTACGACTGACTGGGTTGTTTGTTGTTGCTGGTGCTGCTTTTGTTGTTGTTTTTAGGTGCCGTCGTTTTGCTGTTCATTCAACCAAACGCCGCCGCCAAATGTTTCCATTTTTTTAATATCCTGCCATCAAGGAGGCTTTGCTTGGCACGAAAACACAACTCAGCAATTGATTGGCTCACAAATAATCATAAACAATTGTTTAATGCACTTAACGCGGCGTATTTACAAAATATAAATGAATATGAATATACGCATGTACATATGTTGTACGTTTAACACTAAATATGTAAATAAATAACTAATAAGTAACGACTAACTGCGCTGTTGACGTTAGCGTTGACAGCACGGCGACAGCGGCGGCAGCTACTAATATTTGACGGCAATTTTTTTTGACACTTGGTAATAATTTTTCATTTGTGTGCGATTGCACATTTGTTGCTGAATGGAAATTATGTTACCAAATTTGATAAATTAACTTTACGTAAATAATAAAGAAACATCAACAACAAAGCGCACTTTAGCCGCTAGGTGACGGTCAACGGCGCCGCGGTCTTACAGCAACACACACACAAATACTGCAGCTCGCTGCAGGCGTAGTTGTCGGCGTTTTGGTTGATCTAAACCATTTGATAGTATTATTCACAAATATTTTAAATTACTTTTATGCGCCGCAAATCACAAACACGACCTTACCGTGTCGGAGTTCGTAGAAAACTAAAAAAGTCGGGCAATCGATGTAAATATATGTCGATATATAGAAAAATATCGATGTTTCTATAGTTGTTTAATCTATCGATATTTTATGCATGGCCAGCTCAGCTCTAGCTCCACCTTAAAATAGCAGCGGGAAACAAATCTTGCTTATACATATGTATGTATGTATGTACAATATGGGGGCAATTACAAATTGGTAGCAAATTTTACTCAAATTGCAGTTTTATTTCAACATATTCTGACTGCTGGAGGCTTTGAAATTGTATAATAGAAATGAGTTTACAACATAAACTTATTGTTCTTTTCGGACAAGTGCTTGGACGAACGCTTTGCATCAAGAAAGAGGGAATGGACGTCGTCTATATCTTCCTTAGTAATTTGTGAGCGCCCATTTACCTTGCACATTTGATGGGCTGGTGTAAGCAGCTGAACGGCATAGCGCAAAGTTGAATTTGTACCAATTTCGCTGAGGCGTGTGAAGGCAGTCTCGTCCAGCTGCAAGCCCTCGGTTAGTGCGCGCAATTTAATGATCTGCTCCATATCTGAGCTCGAGTAAAGCAGAGTACGTATGATAAGCAAGCGATCGAGCAAATCCAATGGAATGCCGTGTGGTGAGACGATGTCGGTGGTGCCACTGAAGAAATGCTATTAGTTACATCCAAGTAGGCATAGATAGCGAAAAACTTACCGGATAACACAACGGCCACGATTGGTGGCAAATATGACAATGGGCGCTATGGGGGACTCCAAAGACTTGTGCAAATAGGTGAAGGTCTCTAAATCCAGCATGTGTATTTCGTCTATAAATAGTACGCCTGGTACAAGCTCGGCAATGCCTTGGTCGATATATTTGTTAACCACCTTATTGATTTCCATACGTAGCTTATCTGCAAAAGAAAAATTATTCATATAATAGTTCTCTCCGCAGAGTTCATTACTATAGCTGCAGTTCCCACCTGTGATTTCTGTCTTTTTCGGCTTCATCAGCTGTCCCATCATGGAAAGCACATCCTGGCCGCCTTGTGGGCGAGCATTGGCCACATCAAGATCGTGCAATGTAACATCCTGAATAACTTCCTTTTTCTTGTGCACGTCACCTTTGGGCAGCGGCACATATTCCTCTGTTTCCAAATCGAATTCTGTGGCAAAAGTATCACTACGTCCCTGACGCTTCACAGCCCCGCTGTTGGCCTCTATATAGATAACATCGCCAACTTCAACCTTTTCTTTTTGCAAAGCATCAAAGATGCTAGGATCCAGCTTTAATTGTTTTGTGCCTTTGGCGGTCTTTAAGCCGATTACCACATTGCTTATAGTCTTGCCATAACCGCCCATGGGACTCTCAGTCTCCACAGGAGTAAGCTCTGTTACCTCGCCTTCATAAACTTCCTTCGTTTCGCGTATGCGCAGACCAATGGAACGCCGAAAGTTTTCCATCAGTACTTCGGTTTTTTTGATCTCGTTACTGAAAACCTCTGAACCAACCATGGGACAGAACGGCACCTTGTTGCCCAGCTCCTGTGCAATCGCCAGAGCAATGGCGGTTTTTCCAGTGCCGGGAGGACCAGCAAGCAACAAGGCACGACCAGCCATTTTCTTCGACTTGATTAGATCAACCACTATGCCGGCAGCTTCGCGTGCTGCCTTTTGCCCCACCAAGCCGGCAGCGTTTTGCAAAGCAGAGCCGGCTTCATCCAAACCCAAGCCCTTTACGTGGCTGTGGGCCGCAATGCGCTGAGTGCGCACTGTGCTTTTTACCTCCTCGATTTTCATTGCTGCTTTCTGTATTTAGTAGTTCCGCTTCTATTTCGTGCAGTCAAAATTGTGATTTCAGTATTGATCAAACGGCATGAGTTTGTTTGGCAAAGCACACTATGTTGTTAGGGAGGAAACTGAAGTGCTGCTTCGTTACTTTCGATGCTTTCAAACTGGCATCGATACTCTAACATTGCCAAATCGTGCTAACGGCATATTTGTAAGAAGAAGAGTAGAGCGATGCGCGCGCAAAATTAAATGTAGAACACAAATAATAATGAAAGTATTTTTTTGTTAATTTAAGACAAATTTAAAATCAGACAATCAATTTAAAATAAAATCATTTAAAAGTGGACAGAATGTTAAAAAAAATGTTTAAACCACTCAGTAAGAAGATTCTCCGATTGACCAACTAATTGGGGAGTAGTTTTCTAATCCCATTGAAATGGTTGGTATGACTGCTGTTTTTGCATTTCCAGGCTTCAGCCCGAATCTGGCAGCAGCCAACTTATTAGAGTAGCAAACTTTAAGTTTAATGATTCCGAAGAAAACTCAATTTAAATCCGTTTATTAGTTACGTAAATGCTTAAAATGCATTTTGCTTTTATTTATATTTTTCGCTCTTTAACTAAAAACCTCTTTACAATTTATAACAAAAATATTTCTGCACCAATTTCACAAACTTCGAATGTTAACAAAGGTTTACAAAATATTAACAATTAATGTAAAAAAGAATGCCTACAAATTAACAACTTTGTTGCTTATTATAAACAGAAGCCGTAACATTTTGCCTACTTATGGCTGCATAGTTTGTTAACAATTGCATTTAATTTATAACATTATTGTTAGTCAATTAGTTGAACTTGCTGGCATCGGCGTTTTGAAACATTTGTCATAAAATTCTTTTAATGGTTTTGATTAATTTTTTGCTTCTTTGTCTCGTGTGATAATAATTCTTGCTATTATGATTTACTTGCTTATTGTTTCCTCTTTTTGAACTTGTGTTTGCATAATTCAAATTCAATAACTGTAATTTGTATATAATATATAATGTATTTATATATTCATAAATATATATGTTGTTTGTACGTGTATAATTCTTTAAATTTATATATGTAACACATTTGTGACTAATTAACTGTTCTCTTGTCAGTCAATGAACACTTTTAACTTGAAACTGGCCCAACTCACTTGCTGTTTAATCAATTCGACTATAAGCAATTAGAAATTGAAACTCTTAATAAAATACCTCTTGAAATATAATTTAATAATTGTTAAAGAATTAGCTGAAAAAGATCTGTGCAATAAAATCGATTTGTAATTTTTTTTAGACGTAAATAGTTGTGGATCTGATAGTACATCGTCACATCCAGACTTGACATTATACATACAATATATAGATAGGTATATGGTATATAACTTTATATAAGTATGTAGTAGTTAGGTAGGTATATTGTATCAAAAACTTTGCTAAACGTGAGAAGTTATGTGCTTTGCATGTAGATGAGGTAATTTTTATAAGCCAAAATGTTGAGTGCACAGTTTTGCATAAAATTTCGACGAGTAAACGAGTAAATATCAGATTTGATTAGATTGTAGTATACCGTATATACCGTAAGTATAGCGTAGCTTTTGTTGTTTTTTATTGTTAAAAACCGTTGGTTAATAATGCCGATATTGCTTCTCATAGTATTCTCTGGTAACAAGTAATATGTAACTGTTGCCGAACTTTATGTGTAAATGGGTGTTTCATGGGTAGTTGTGGGTGTATGAGACAGCTTTGGTTTCGAAAGCGCACTAGAAGCCATGGAACAATTGTAACATGCTTGAAAATGGTAAAGATAATTCAGTATTTACGGTTTCTCTGGGTCACCAAAAGTTCTAGGAGATGCTGTTGTACCTATGCCACTTGAATACTGGCCCAAGGTTGAGGTACTGCTGTCTAGAACGCTCGAGGTCAAAGGTTGTCTCAATGTGAATGACATCATGGGATTATAAACGCCTGTGGAATATGAGAGAGCACTAGTGCTGGTGCTAGGGCTTGATGTGGTTGTGGCAGTAGTGCCGGAAGTGCTGCTCAATCGGTTTGTTAATGAGCTTGTGAAGGTGTACGGCACATAAGCGGATGTTGTGGAGGCGGTGCTGGCTTGGACCAGACCACTGCTGGAGTAGTCCAGAGCTGTAGTAGTGGACAATGTGGAGGTGGTGGCATGACTAGTGGTGCCCAATTGCATAAGAATGTTATCACAGCTGCGTATGCGCAGGTCCGTGGAACTGCCCGAAGGTGTAGCAGAGCTGGAGCCCGGCACAACGCTGACTGTGGGCGCAGTGAGGTATGAGGTGTGGGAGTAGTTGCTGCTGCCGCTGGGCAACAACGAAGTGCCAGTGTAGCTGCTCGACATAGTGCTCGAGTAGCTGCTGGTGGTAGTCGTCGGTGGTGCTGTCGTGTATTTATAGGCACCAAGACCGGCGGCTGCCTGCGGCAAGTCGCTGTAACTCTTGGAGGTGGCCGAAGGTGACGCCACAGGCGAGCGACTTGGTGGACGCGAAAGCGTTTGTTTCTCTATTTGCTTCTCGGTGAGAAAGCGATCGTAGAAGGTTGAGGTGACGGTTGTGTGTCGGATCTCCAGCTTTGCTGGCTGATATACGGGCACATTGGAGCGTGCAGGCTGGTACGGGTCATAGGGCGGGCGGTAGGGCGAGACTGGTCTATCGATGTCTAAACGGGGCCTTGGGCAAGTGACGTCACTCGATGTTGTGGCATTTGTTGTTGTTGCTGTTGTTGTAGTCGTGTAGATGTTGTTGCTTGTGTAGCGTGTTGTTGATCTTGTCGACTCGTATGGAGAACTCAGCGGTGTTCTGGCAGCTGAACGTCGATCATCCGCATACTTGTTGTATGTTTCTTCTAGTTGTCTATCTACTTTATGAAACTTAGTTAAACTATGGCCACTACTTAAATCGCTAGATTGATCGAGAAAATAATTTGGCAACATATTATCACGTCTTACCCTACTACTCTCGCGTTCCTCACGTTCCTCATCGTCGCGACGACGGCGTGGCGAAATCTCCCTGCTTATATCCCTGTGTGAACGATAATGCGGCGGACTGGCGGCACGCAAAGGACTTGTGGTACGTATAGATTCGGCTGAACCCAGCGATCGATGCTCTGCAGCTCGTTGGCCCTGTGCGGAGGTAATGCGTATGGAAGGTGCATAGTCCCCACCAGCGGTGCGTTGCGTTGATCGACCTCGGCTCTCACTGCGACTATGCGTCAAGTCCTCCAAAGAGTTCTTCTTGCTGGCAAAATGCAGCGAGTCCGTGAAGAGGGAGTCGATGTAACGCTGGCACTTTTCCTTCTGATAGGGCTTCTCTTCACACAGGCTATCAATAGATTTAATGGAATTCTTGATGCTGCTGAGGCGCTCATTGATGTTGTCACCAGTGCGTAGAGGGACCCCTGTATGAGTTCCGGTTCGTGTTATAGGGGAAGTCTCCTGAAAAGCATAAAGTATTTAAAGGGTTTCTCGGCTTAAAAATTCAATAATGTGAAAATAGTTCAGATGTGTCGAAGCTTCGCTTTTACAAACTATGTAATATTTTATACCGTTAGGATATATCTCATAAATATTTAATGTGTATGTGTATTTTAAAAGCATCTAACAAAAACAGAACATGTGATTGGAGGGGTGATTTCAGAGCCCAGTACTGCTACAGGCTACTGCTAGGCAACTTTTGTGTTTACCAATTTGAAATTATTAGATCTTTTATAAGCAACTTACCCGCATTAGGCGACTTCCAAATTGATCGAGGCCTTCAGAGCTCGAAGCTGCAGCCGCACCGCTGCTGCTGTAGCTGCGATTGGTGGTTTGATCTGTAAGAGTCTTCTTAAGAATACGTTGAAGAATTTTAGTATTCTCCACTATGACATCCAAAACGGTATTTGTGGTGCCCACCATTCGTTCGCTGGCCTGCCTTGATGTAGACCGTCTAATGTTGTCCTCATAGTACTCCTCGTCTTCATCGCAAAAACGTATGACCTTGGGACTGGTGGATCGATAGTAGGGCCGGGAGTCATAATCGTCGTCGTCTCGTCGCATTGCAGACTTCGGCGTTGTGGCACCACGTCGTGGGCTTTGCTCGCGCGATTTGGCTACCTTAAACTCCTCAAAGGACAACGAAGGTGATACTACATCCTTAAGCTTCTGGTTGAACTCTCTGTAGTCTTTTTGGGTCTTGAAGTCAAAGCTATGCTCCTCCTCTAAGACGCGCATGCGTTCCTCCAGCTCTGCGGCAGTTGGTGGCTCTGGTCTAGTGGGCGAGCTTACCAACCGCTCCAGATTATGAACCGGGGTCTTAGGTCGCCTGTCCTCCAATTTCTTTTTGCGTTTGATGTCATCAATGGTGGGAGAGCGTGAGCGCGATTTGTGGCGCACTGCTGCTGAATTCGGTGACTTAAGTTTCTCATCGAGTACGCGTATGCGATGCTCTAATTCACCGGTTGTGGGAATTTCACTATCGTCCGGACTTGGATCAAGCAACATTTCAAGTGGATGTATGGGCGGTTTCTTGTTTGGATCCAGCTTTCGCTTGGAAAGATTCTCCCTAGACTTAGAACGCACCAGGTCGAGCACACGATATTTGTATTCTAAATCATCTGATATGGGCAGATCATCGGAATGTTGCTGACGACGGGACGGTGAGGTGTAGGGACTCCTGTTTATATCTGCAGCGGTACGTGCCGGTGATGTGTGTGGCGTTTTCTGTTGTTGGCGCGATGGTGAAGTGTAGGGCGATTTGGTAGGCGTCCTGGCAGGAGACTTGGTACTTGATTTGCGCGAGGGCGATGTATAAGGTGACTTGACTGTTGCTTTGCGCGCTGGACTACGTGAGCGTTGTGGCGGCGCTTCTTCTGCAGGCGGCTCATCATCGTCCAATCCTTTCCCTTCGCATAGCTCTAGGTATTTATTTAAATCCTTCTCATGGGAGAGCGAATACTGTAGCTTGATTTTGCGTTCGATTTCGTTGAGACGCTGTTCTACATCGATTTTTTCGACATCCTCCAACAACTTGATTTGGCGTTCCAGTGAACGGAAGCGTGCTTCAAGCTCCTTGGTAGAGGGCAAATAGACGGTTTTACGTTTCAGGTGATGCTTTACTGGATTGGGTCCCCAGTCGTAGTCTGCCTCCACCCCCTCAACACCCTCAATCCCGTCAACCTTTTTCGCTTGTGGCTCTTTGGTGGTCTCTTTTTTCTCCACTGGATTTTCTTGCGCTTCACCGCTTGTAAAGCTCTCGATTTCTCTGGTTAAGTCGCTTATGGCTTGAGCCTGTTCTGCATTCTCAGTAGTTTGTTTGCTATTGGCTCTCACCAGCTTTCCATTATCAGATTTGATAAGATTGCGATCGCTGAGCTGCTTCTCAAGCGCCTGGAAGAGATCCTCTAGTTCTTCAGTATTGGCACGTGTCAAGCGGCGCACTTTCATTGCCTTGGGTTCGTTATCCATGAGTAGCACAACTGTCTTATTGTTGGCATCGGCATTTCCAATGTCATTCGCATTAATGATCATATTATCCAGTTCTACCTTTTGAGATTCCTTTTCATCTAATTGATTTTCTTTGGGAACGCTTGCGTTTTCTACTTCTGACACATTTGTTTCAACTTGGACAGCATCTTGAAGTGGTTTCTCATCGACAGGTTTGGAAGTTTCTTTGACAGCTTCCTTAATTTCCACTTCGTCATCAATTTTCTCTTCAGTTTTCTCATCACTTGTGATTGATTTCTCTGTACCAACGCTAACTATTTCGTCCACTTTTGAGCGAGCCTGAGCTTTCTCTTCATTTTCCAGGGTTTTGGTTTCTTTTACTGTTTCCGGCTCATCAGACCCTAAGGAATGTTGTAATGGTACTTTTTCTAGTTTTTCTGGAATGTCGCTTTTCACACTCTCATTGTGGCTGTCCTTTTCATTTTTATGCCTTGACTCTATCTCCTCTGGGTAAATGGTTTCCTCCACTACTGGCTGACACTCAGTTCCCGCGTTGCCATTTTTCGCGCGCTCCTCTACCAATTGCTGTTCCAACTGTTCAAGTCGCCGAGTAAGCTCCTCCGTGGTCGGCCTGTGCTCTTCCGATGCTGTGCGCTTTTTCGCTTCACCCTCTTTATTGAGGTGCATTTTAATGTTAATGCTTATGTTAATAGGTTTATGGGCATCTGATTCCATCACCTCACCGAAATGTGTATAGCGTACGAGTTCTTTTCCCGTGGCATCTATGGTTTCCGTGCTAAGGTGGCGAGATGAACCGTTGAGATCGTTTCGTGGTGCCGCCACCGCTACGGCTGTCGCTTTCTCTCGCATGGCCTCTAGCAGCTTCAAGCTATTCTCACTCAACTGTTTCTCCAGAGCAAGAACGCGCTGCTCCAGCTGCACCTCTGCTTGGCGGGATGTGCTTGGCCTCTCGTTTTGACTTGTCCTCGATGCTACTTCGGAATCACTTGCACTGCGCTGCTTGTAGAATTTCTTGTATAATTGCTTCTCCAAGAATTGTAAGCGATTTTCCAGATCAGCTCTTGAAGGCAAATCGGAGAAACGACGAACCATTCGCTGCGCTTGCCAGGGTTCGTAATTTCCCGATCTGTAGTAAGCGGTGTTTGCAGGTGCTTCCGAGGTCTCATCGCCCATTGGTGTGGGTCGGTGCTGCAGTTGTTTTTGCTGAAGCTGCCTTTTTCGCTGTGGATTGATGTCGCTTGGCCTGAGATTCTCCTCGCCCGGGGATTGTCCTTGCATCTTGCTCTGTAACTCCTCAATAAGTGCACGCTGTTGAGAGCTCGCCGGGTGGACAAGCTGAATTGGCGGTGGTGGTGGTGGGGGCTCGGGTATGTGCGCCTCAATGGCTACATCTACATGTTGGGGCGGGCTTCGCTCGCGAATTAGTTGTTTTGTGCTATTGGCAGTTTCTTTGCTGTGCAGCGCCTCGAATCGATTCTCTAGGTCTTCGGTGGTCGGAGGCTCCTTCTTCACATGGGGCTTATCCTCTGTGTCTGGGTTAGTCTCATCTATTTCCGCTATTACTTCCTGTTCAATTCTTTCTAGCGCTTCGTTTACAGTTTCACTTTGACTGAGTGAGTTACTGGCAAACTGATTTCTGCTGCTCATACGACGCTTGAACGTCTCATAACGCTTCTCCAGATCTTCTGTTGATGGAGGCTCTGAAGCGCGCCGTTTAGGAAGACTTTTTATTTGTGTTTCCTCAGTGAAGTTTTCGTCCTTTGTCTCAGCTTTCTGCACTATGTGGTCGGACTTAGGTGCTTGCTCATTTTCGCATTCTATCTTTTTGTTTGCAGTTCTACACTTCTCTTCAAAACTTTGACGCTTGTCAGCTGCTTTTTCCTCTTGTGCATCATCTTCTTTCTTAGACTCGCTTCGCTTCATAGTATCTTCAGCTATTGCAGTATTTATTGACTTGCATTTATCTTCAAATGATTTTAGGGCTTTAGCTTCTTTCGATTGCTTTTCTATTTGAGGTTGCGACTCATTTTTTGTTTGTTTTTCTACACTTTTTTCTGGTGCCTTTGGCTGTAGATCTTTCGAAGTCTTTGTTTCAGTATTGCTGTCAAGGTTGGTTGTGCTGAGCTGTTTCTCCAACGCCTGAAAACGTTTTTCCAGCTCTTCGGTCGATGGAGGTGCTTTACGTTTTCCTGTATCCTTAACTGACTCACCTTTAGATTCTACGAGATCTTCAGCTAGTTGAACTTGAGACTTATCTGACTTTTCTTCAAGTTTTTCTGCTGACTTTTCTTCTTCATTACTTTTCTGCGTTGTTGTGTGCTGTTTTCGATTATCTTCTGTGATCTTATCTTCTACTCCATTGCTCTTATGTGTTTCCTGTTGCTTTGACATGACTTCAACAGACTCCGTTGCTCTCAATGTGGTTTTGTCACTTGTTTTAGGATATGCGTTAACTTCCGTTTTGGATTCTTCATCATCCTTCTTTGAATCCTCCTTTCTGACCTCCTCCTCATCAGGTGGCTCCTTTTTTGCCTTTGCGGGACTACTTTTCTGCAGACTCATTTTACGTTCGAGAGCATTAAATCGGTCCTCTAATTCGGCTGTGGAAGGCAATTTCTTAAGGCGTGGTTGCTCCTTTGTCTTTTTGCTTTCAGCTTCATTGCTATCACTTGACTCGCTTTGCACAGTTGTTTGTTTTATGTCTGAGCTCTCCTCCTGCGTCTTATCTAGCTTGCTAGTCTTTTCGCTGTCATTCTGTTTCTTTGCACTGCTTCCACTATCCGGCTGCTCTCTCTGGTCCTTTAGTTCTATGGGTGTTTTCGCATCTGATCCATTGGAACTCATTTGCTTGGCTAAGGCATTATAACGTGTTTCCAAATCAGCGGTGCAAGGTATTCGGTCGATATTTTCAAGGCACTCCGCATTTGATTCCGCGCATAGTTTGGCTTCACGGCTTTGTTTTTCTGCACTGAGCTGCTTTTCTAACGTATTATAGCGTTCCTCCAGCGCTGCCGTGCTGGGTATATGCTTGACTGGCTCCATTTTATCACACTGTTTCTGTTGCTGCTGCTCCTTACTGGGCAGTACGTCTTGACTGAGCCTGCGCTCCAAGGCCTGAAAACGTTCTTCGAGCTCTATGGTTGAAGATCGCGTGAGGGTTTTTCGCCGAGGATCGCGACGTTTACGGCTGGCATTGCTTAGTGGAAGTGGAGGCTTCCGTGGCTCTATCGTCATGCTTAACAGCTCCTTGTAGTCATCCTTGTTTTCTCCGGGAATATTATTATCGCGTATTTGCGGCACTTTGGCGATAATATTGGGTTCTAATTCCTGTGGTTTTTGGTCTAGGAGGCTGCTTGATTTTGAAGAAATGTTTACTTCATCCATTCTTTCGCTATCCAATTTAGTTTTTGTTTCGACACATTCGGCACTTTCTCTGTCTTCTTCGTTTAACGAGTATGACAGAGCCAACTTGGTAGGTCGCTCTACACTATTTACCCGCTCGAAATATTCGTTCGTCACACCATCATCACTAACATCGAACCGCTTGCGAATCAGGCCATCAACTTCCTGTCCATCACTCGCTGTAGCTGCTACATCACCACTACCTAGCAAGTTCACTGAATCCACATACAACGGCTTAGGCGTAGCCAATGGACTTATCGTGGTCGCCCCTAAGTAGCCTGCGATGTCTGGTAGCGGTGAAAGTTGACTAGTGCTTGTTATTCCCAGTGGCAGTTCCAATATATCTGTCTCTACGTGCAACGGTTCCAGTGTGCTGCTCGCCAAGTCTCCAGCAGCATTTGAGTACTTTAGCTCCGACCAACCTAAGCGGTGCTTATAGTTAAAGCGATCGCTTTCTGTAGCACTGTCTTCCTCCTCCGTCTTAGTCGTAGCTGGTGCATATTGCTCCTTCTCATCGCCACTGTCGGACCCCATCAGCATAAATGGTATCTCGTGGGTTGTTGGTGCCCAGGATTTGGGACGCCTGCGTTCCACACCCGAATCACTTGATTCCATAATCTGCAGCTTCTTTTGAGGGGCATCTTTTAGCTTTCGCGCTAGCTTAGCTTTTCGCTTAGGACTTTGCTCCAGAGATTTAGCAGAAGCAGGATCATCATCATCACACAGGCTGGTATCGGTACTAGAGCCGCCATCGTCATCTTGTTTCTCGCCGTCACTTTCCTCGCTATACGAAGAGCTGTCGCTTTTGCCGAATCGCGAGCGAATCTTCTGAGATTTAAGAACAGTTGAGTCAACTCCTTCTCGTAGCATGGCCGCCCGATCCGCCTTGATTTCCTTCCAGGTGAGGCTATCACGTCGCCGCTTGCTAGGATCAGCGTCTCGCCAGAGCAAGGTCTCGCCTCGGCGTAGCTGCTTCTCCGCCGGTTTGACATGCAGCACAGCAGGTAGGGAGGGTTTTCGTGCTGGTGGAATCGCTCCAGGTGGCGCGCCAACGCGCTTTCCTCTGTTCGTAATAATGGCCGGCCGACCCTGCAGCAACTGACTGACAGGCACGGCTGCCTGGGCATTGCTGGGTGGTGTTTGCCTCGCTGCCGTGGAGCAAGCTGTCGTCAATATGACATGTGCTTGCTTCTGACGCTCACGTAGACGATCGTACTGCTTCTTAAGCAAGGATATATCTAAAGCTAGTCGATCCTTCTGCTCTGTTTGCTGCTTGCCCGTCGTAACGCTGGGTCCCATGGAGCCACGACGACCCCAGTTCAATCCCCACACAGTGGCCACAGCCAGACGCGATTCCTCATCCGAGTGCGTATCCTCATCGTCGTAGTAGAGCCTGTGTGCAAGTGTTATAAGCTAGGATTCGTTATTGTGTTGAATATTACTTACTGCAATCCTTGCTTGTGACGCAGAGGCGCTATGTTATACAGATGTTTGTCCCTGAGCTGGCGTAAGTCCTCTATTGGTCCTAGCTGCACTACCTTTTCGATGAGGCCGTTAGAATCAATGAGATGTCCATTGAGCAGTTCGCTTGAGAATGAGCCCATCTTCCCATAAAAATCATCTGCAGTGCGCGCATTCAGAACGCGTCTGTATAAACAAAATAAAATACGAAAAATGTCAGCGCACACATTTTTATTATGTAGCTCAACATTTTCAACAGTAAAACTTTCAAATTGCATTAGTCAGCTGCCCACGAAAATGCATGACAAAAACCCACGCGAACTTTTGCCAAAAACATTCAACCTTGAAGGCCTGCACTTTATAGTGCGGCCCGAAAGCCTTGACACAAATGTTCTTCAAAGTGTGCAAAGGCACACAAGAAGAACGTGTCAAGCCAGTGTGCCCCACTTTAGTATATTCTTTATTTTCAAGGAATCGCTAAAATGGTTTCATTGGCCTACGTTTTAACTCTTCTTATATCATCTTCTATAATAATTAAGTTTTTTACACTTTGCTTAATTGAACTGAGGGATGCACGCCATCATTTTGCAAAATAAAAAATAGATGGGAACATTCTCGTACACACTTACTCTTCGAGCAAACTCCAAAGCACCAATGCTGTTCGCAGCAAGACATCACTGCCCTCAATGAGCACCAGATCCCAAACTCGTAGTACACAGGACATGGGCAGAGTGCTGCAGAAGATGGTGAGGAACCATTGCATGGTGAAGACATTAGTCAGCGGCGGCTCGTAGGCATTTTCAATGGGGCCCTGCAGCTTTTGCAAATGCTTGGCCAGCCGGGGCAATTTCGTTTGCATGAGTTCGCGGAAGACGCCCATGTCTGCTTGCAGGCCACCCATCGAGCCGCAAAAGTAACCAGTAGGCAGCACGCCCTCCACCAAATAGATCATGACCTTAATAGACTCCTCCTCTTCCTTGTCCATGACCTGCAGTATGAGAGCGCCCAGCATGTTGAAGCCCTGCAACAAATACCTGCTATTGAAAATCAAACAGCATGCTGGTGCATTTGAAGGCGTTACCTGGCAATAGCCAACCTCGGGATTGTAACGCGCATAGCCAAGCAGAATGCGCTTCAGCTTGGCCTGGTTGATGGAACCCGCCGGTCCGGTACACAAATTCGAGCCGGTGCGGTGTAAGTCCTAGATACGTTTCAATTGTTTGCTTTTAATAACTGCGCGATGTCGCCCACAATTTTAAACCTACCTTGACAATTTGTATGCCAAGCTCTTCGTCGTCCTCGCGCCACTCCTCGCAAAAACACTTTTCACGCTCCTGCGTCCAGTCCACGTTCTTTGACTTCAGGTACTTGTCTGCCAACGATAGCCACAGCTGTGTGCGTGCCATGAAACGGATAATAACAAATTTTATAGTGTTTTTTTTAGTACGGGTACGAATAAAAGCTACAGTGGGTTGAAAAGGAATTTATAGAACCTTGTTACTGGCTCTAAGCCACAGTTATCTCAGACACTTTGCCCGACCATCAAAATGCTCCAAATGTGATTTCATAAATAACACTATTTTGTATGAATCAATAACATATAAATAAATGATGTGGCGTTGATTACACGATATGTGAGGTGCCGTTGCAGTGTAAGGATGGCTCTACACAAGAAATCTGTACAGCAGAGCAAGGCTATTATTCTTAATTTTAATGTAAGTTCAATATGAATTTCTTTGCAGCTTTTTATTTAGATATGGAGGCAACACGTAAGGATACAGAATTAAATATACTATGTAATATAAATATAAACCGTTATAATAAATATACCTGTTTAAAATGTACTTCACTTCACTTCATTTACTTCTTTCAGCCTAACTCCTACTTCTGCACTTAGATATCTGACATGTACTTGTAAGCTTTTGACGGGTGGCACATTCTTAAAATATTTGTAAATATACTCGTATATACCTCATACATACAAGTATAAGCGGCGCCACAAAATGTCCTTAACATTTTATTTATTCAGAAGTTACTTAATTAATGTGCCTTGTTGACGAAGAAACGCACTGTGGGAGTTAAAAGCCATGCATGCCTACCTTGCGTCGAAACTCTGGGGGTGTGCCTCCCGGCAAACGGGCTACCAATTTCATGGCGTGCAACCATTGATTGTAATCTGAGGCAGCATCATCGTCGGTGGCGGTGGTGGTGGCGGATGCGGCGGTGGCGGCGGCGGCTCCTCCATTGACAGCAGTGGCGGAGCCTTCTCCGCCTCGATTGCGTGCGAGCATGTTGTTGTTGCTGTTCCGATTACGGCTTTTTATGGCGTTGTTGTTGTTGTTGGTGGCGGCGGCGGCGGCGCTGCTGCTGTCGTTGATGGTGTCGCTGGTGCTGGAAGGTGAGGTTACGCTAACGTAAACGGCTTTCGGTGGCGGTGGTGAGAGGCTAAAACGCATTTTAGGCTGTGCATCGTCTGAAAGAGTTATTGGATATTTAGGAAATGAGCATTTTGTGGTGCATGCTTTTAGGCGCCACTTGTATAGACTTTTCTGATTAATTGGCAATCATTTTGTTTGCGAACATTTTCGTTTGTGTGTGTAACTTACAATATCCGTGCAGTATGCAAACTTTTTGTAACACATTTAGACACATTTAGAAATAGTTTGTAGTTAAAATTTATAAAGTTATTTGTTAGTAGACGCATTTATTCATTAGAGAGAGAGCGCACACCAGAAAAGAAGAAAGAATATAAAAAGATAATGTATTTTCATTATAGATATTTGTATATAGTATAGGCACTTAGACAAGTTGGTGGGCCTCTGAAGCAGATGAGATGCTTGAAATGTGCGGCGAAACTTTTGACGCAAGTTTGTATTTGATTTTCGGCTTCTATATACATTGCTATTAATACGATTATGTGTGTGTGTGTGCGGGGACTGGTGAAATGCAATTTGTTGCAACATTGTGTGCAGTTTGAACACACTACTCTTATATGAAATGTGCCAGAGCCAAAACAAACAAGTGCAATGAGATAGATACGCTATTCCCCCTAGCGCACCAAAAGCCAACTAAAAACAAACACGTGCGAGCTTTTAGCCACTTTGTGTGGAATTGACCATGACATTTATTTCACATGCCAAGCGACGCTTTTGTGATATTTTCAGTGGACTAGTTGCTCACACAAGTGGGTTAGGAGTGGGTGAGGTGTGTGTGTGTGTGTGCGTATGTGTATGTGCGTGTGCTTGATGCGTTGCTATGGAAAAGTAAAATAATACCGCAGATGCTTGCTATGCCAGCTGCGTGTAATCTTAAGCAATTCTGTGGCTCTGTGCGACTTTATCTGCCGTTTGGTGCGCATAAATCTAAATCCTTGTTGGCAACTTGCTTTCTGTTTCCGCTCTTATCACACACACCAGCAAAAGGTCAAGTTAATAAAAGGAATGTGCGCTCAGTTTATGATGGCATCATAAATTAAGTTTGAGCACTGCGCATACAAACAGGCTGGTTGTCGAGCTGATGTTGTCTCTGATGATTTGCCTTGGCATGCATCTACAAAAATATGTATATATAAAAACCACATACATACATGTATAGCTTTTATATTGCACCAGCCAACCTAAATCCAATTTACGCACGTGCCAGAGCTGGCAGGTAATTGGATTTTGTGTCTGTGGCATTTAATGTTTACTAGGTGCATAATTTAAACAACAAAAAAATTGAACATTTTGGAAAATTTGTGAAGAGTTTCAAAGCTATAAAAATCGACAATAGATTAGAAAAATGATTGCTATTTATTGCAGTTTAGTCAACTATTTATATGATTTGATTTAGGATGTGTATATAGAAAGAAGCCACAAAACATTCTATCTACTTTAATATCATGATTTATTAGAGTAGAAGTATGAAGAGAGGAAAAATGTATGATTTTTAAACCACATGGAATGTAAAACTTGAGCAACACGGATAATGAAATATTCTAAAATCCACAGAAAAAACGTTTCTGCGCATACCGGAGCATAAAGAATAAGAGGTTTTTTTGAAGTACTGATATAAAATTGTTTCGCTTTTAAATTTGTTTAGGAACAATCGGCAAAGCCAGCTGTAATTTAGAAGACAGATAGAGAGATATGGCTTTATCAAATTGTCTCGTCATGCTGATAAAAAATATTAATTTATTTTTAGATGTTCCGAGGTAAAGGGCACTATTTATGATATTATTTATTGAGATATTTTAATAATCTATTTATCAACCCACAGACTTTTAGGGTCAGGGAATGGCCCGCTAGTCCTTCTTTATTAGACTTTTTGGTGCCTACGAATGAAAAGATACTTATATCTATAACAAGTGTAGAAAATATTACCTAAATTAAGCTAAATTACATTTACAACGTATTGTTATTTCATCAATTGTTAAAAACCAAAATGCATATTATTATAAAATGTTTTTTGCCTTTCACTCATAGCATAGCTGTGGGCAGATAATAAAGCTTTCAAATATAAAACGCTGCTTTTAAAGAGTGTTGGTTGTTTCTTAGCTATTTATTGCCCCAAAACTCACATAAATTTCTGAGAGTTCTTCCTGTCCGCTATTGAAGCCAACCATTCGCAAACCATTTTCCTTTGGCATTGGCAGTCAGGTATGTATATACTACTTAGCATGTAAGCTTTAGCATTTTCAAATGCTTCTTATGTATTACATAACACCCACTTTAGAGCTTCATTCCAGGATGAAGGCAGACACACATATACACTCCCGGCAACTTCCATCGGGCAAGTCAAAAGCATTTGTGTAATGAAATGGCTGCCATTTGGTCTTGTACTTGCCAAAAATAAAATAAAATAATGTAAAACAAACATTTATGTTTACTTAGCGCAAATTGAAGAAAGTATTCGCTATACCCAGAGGCCAAATATAAGGACTGTCTGACATACTAAGTAAGCATGACGCTTCGCGTCGTTTGTATGCAACACATTTGTCTTGAACTAAAGCCTGAACTTCAGGAAAAGAAGGAAAGAGAGAGACAGAGTGAGTATCTAATGAATTACATACTAATTGTTCAAACTATTATGTAATTCTCGGGAACGACGCGCCAAACTAATTAAGCTGCAGACATAAAACATTTTTACGACCAAAGAGCTTGATAAAACACTCAACGGTCATATTCTTGTTTTTGTTTTTTGTAATGCATTCTTTATGGCAGATTTATGTAACAGAGCCGACGACTAACACAACAACACACAAAAATGGAACGCACAAAACTTTAGGCCATTTGTCTGGCGAACGGACGCGCATAATTATTTTAAATGCACAATAAAGGCCGGACACGAAGGCAGGCAGCCCGTGGTGCGAAGGACATGATGAGCACAACGATCATTGCGTCGGCTTGGCATTTCAAATGTGTGTGTGTGTATGTGTGTATATGTTTCTCATGCGTGTGCATGTCAAGGCTGTGAGCCGTGTGCTGCCCTCCTCCCTGTTGATTATGAGTATTGGACATTCAGGCGGCAGGCAAGCAGGCAGGCAGTTTGGCCAAATGCTCTTTTCGAGTGCCCTTGACATGGACCAGCTACTGAACTTTAAGTAAAATCAACATTTCTATATCTGTAGTTGTGTATGTTTTGGCAATTTGAGTGCTCATCCAAGTAAAAAACGCAATGCGCGACATTTCGTTTAATGAGCCAAGCGCCCATTTTGGCTTTGTAAAAAGCCAGCCCTAAGAAGCAGCTGAGCAACCGCTCAGAGGTACTCTAGCCAGCCCTCCCAAGACTCCTGCACTAAAGTATTTGTGCGCTTCTGTGCCAGTTTAAAAGCGCACACAAGTATTTATCCTTGGGGATTATGTGACGCCAACGATGGGGGTAGTGGGAAGCTGCTCAGAACAGAAACGAAATCCGCAGTAACCGCGTCTATTTGTCTGCTTGCAACACCATTTACAGTCGCTTGACCTGAGCACAGTGGTTCTTAATTAGCGAATACTAATCTAGTATTTTGTAAGAAATTATCGAATTAGAAACGTTAAGTGGAAGACAAAATTTTCCTGAAGATTGTAATTGTATTCAACCAAACATGAATTTGCCTAATAATTAAATGATTTCTCATTGAAGTGCTGAGCCTTTTAATAAAGAGAGCTAGCAGTATAGGACGAAATCTGTCATAGGGGCAATGGCTATACTTATAAAACACTACACGTTCAAAGCAATAGATAACGAGTTAACAATGAAAGGATTAAATTAAAAAATTGTGTATGTTTATGTACAAAGTAAGGTAGCATCCAACTATAAATTTTGTTATTATAAAATATTTTCTCCCTATTTTGCGGCCAGCGGCTGATGCACACTATAAAATATGATAGCAATGCTTAGTTAAAAATTGTTATATAGAAACATATTTTTAATATACAAAACTGTTGCCAAATGATATCGTTCTTATCATAGTTATATTTTGATCTGTATCCGTCACAAAGACGGCGAAACTTTAAAACTTTTCACTAGAGAACAGCTACCAAGTTAAGCGCGAACTTTCATTCAAAATTCAGCACCGAAATTTGATTTCATAATAAAATTTGACATATCTGAAAAATTATTCCGCTGCGAAAATGTTAATTTTTAATGTTTGCATACAGTTTCTTCATATATTAGGAAGAGTACAGATACTGCAGGCAAATGTTGTACAACGAAATACGAATACAACACTTTAATTGGCATTAAGTACGAGAGCGGTCGAGAAAACTTATGTTAAACTATAGTCCAGATATATTTATCTGAATGATATATTTATCTAGAGTTCGTCAGGTTAGTAGAATATGAGGCTTAAATAGTTTAGAAAACATCAAATTTTGAATTATATTTTGTATTTAATGTATGGGCCTGTTAAATTTAGATGTTAATTGGCAAGTTGATGCCCAAACTGGGTTCATTTAATAAAATGTATTTTTCATGATTACTGTACACCTAATTCTGTTTTTACACGGTAGATTGGATCCAGAAAAAGTCGTGTAAAAAAAGACATTGATCATATGTTATTTTACTTGTAAATCGTGCTAAATGGTATAATGTCGCGTAACCATATATAACATTTTTAATTTTCAAACCGTGTAAAAACAGAATTAGGTGTATTCAAATTGGGAAGCACTGTTGAAGGTTCTGAGTCTGTGTGTGTGTGTGCGCATTTGACAGTTGTGTTGCGTCGTCTTCGTTTGCGCAAGCACGTTCAAG